TCGAAAGATAATGCAAAGCTTTCTACTCCTGACCGGGTTTACATGGGCTCCAGTCCGTCTCTTAATTCTCTGTTCTCTCTTGATGTTAACCCTGAAATAGATTAATGCGTACCACGAGGTCGACGATGTTTTCACCCAAACACGACCCGTGGACACACACGGGCAAGTAAGAACATGAATTCGAGTCTTTACAATTCGTGTTAGATTGGACAAATTAGAGGAGATTGAGCGAACGGTTGCACAAGTCGCAGATGGTACACAGTCACTAGGGTCGGCGGATGCTGTAGTTTACTTTGACGTATCAGCTGGTGAGCATTCGGTTTTTTGTTTATATTTGGTTTTTCCTAGTGCTGAGTGAACACAGAACCTGAAGTAAACACTGCTACCAGTTCCAAGTTTGAGTAGGAATGGTGGGCGAACATGATGCTTGGAGAAAGATAACGAATGCACTTTCTCCATCTCTCTCGAGCTATTTATCCCCGTGACCACTCGACTATAAACACAGATCCCTCAACTAGGATAGATTCCGTGAAGTATCTATGACTTACAGTTGACAAACTTAAAGCGGACATCCCATATTTACAACTCTACACAGAAAATTCACAGATCACCTTTTCAACTTCGAAGACTTAGGTAATTTAATGCGAAGCAAAAACGCATTTCACATTTTGTTGATCAATATGTTTTTCCAGTACTTCTTTATTATTCCCCTGTGGTTTTTGCTGGTCTACTCAAGAAAGACTTTTTGGTCGAGGTTTATCGATCATTAGTCGTGTGTCTTTTATACTCGTTGAAGATCTATCTAAAAATGTGTCAACTCCACTTGTCCGCATGTGAAACATTTGCACAGAAAATCCTCTCTGACCCCACTCATCATTTACATGGTGATCTATCCAAATACTACTCTCATTCAACTACGCGTTCTACATATCGATTATTAGCCCCTAGTATCAACCTCTACAGAAATTCCCCAGTTCCCTATCTCGTCAGAATCGTTGTAAACCGACAGTTCATTTCTTCTGAATTTCTCAACAACCTTGGAGGTTGGANGGGGGTTGGATGTTTTACTCGTTATTTTCCTTCCTTTGAGATGTGTAATTTTTGGCTGAAGTACGCACATCTGTTCATGCAAAAGTCTATACAAATACAAATGACGGTAGATGGAGAAGACGTTTTCCAACCACAGCGGTGGCACCCAAAAAAGAAGGGTCCGGAGTTCATCACTTCAGCCGGCGAAAACCCAATACCAACTGGTTTCCAGGGCTTAGCGATTGCACCAAAAGTTTGACCAGTTGCTCAAAAATACGTCAAACAACAGAGGTGTTGTAGATCTCGCGACAGAGTTGATTACTTTAGACTTTACAACATTGTTTTGGCCTCCGATCTGCTAAAGCCTATTCGAAATCGGTTAACTGTGGCTTGGATTCGGATTTTCTATAGGCAGGTTCCGGCACCTTGATATCATTGGAAAGGAAGAACACAAAAGCTGAAGCTCTATGGACGAACTTCGTGTATGTATGTGTGTACGTAAAATTCCGGCCCGAGAAGGCCAAATTTTGTCTCTAATTACTCCCATACAGAGTGTGATTGCGCAGTTCCTCCTGGCCCGTGTCACGCGCATTTTGTATATTTGGTCATTTATAGTCTAAATTGTTTCACGCAGCATCCGGAATACATCTTCCTCACTCCCTTCTTCTCTCATACGTGCCAGGGAAAGCTTATTTTAAAAAGGTTACTCAACTCGGACAGTTCACACGGCCGCAACTGATTCACCGAATACGTTGGGTTAACAAACGCCATCACATCTGGCCAGTCTTGTTAAATCCCTCGTTGTGGATGTATGTCTGTCTGGCTCGCGTGTGATAGTCCATTCAAGGTTCCTGCAAAACGAGTCCGTCTTGGTCATTCACACTGGGATCTTTTAGTCTCCCATGTCTCGTGATTAATTTATTTTGAAATGTTATCTTTACCCTTCTTAGTTTGTTGCACTTTCGAAGGTACAGATAATGTTCAGGATAGAGGCTTGGACTGCGATCCGAAACAACCTTAAAACTGAGACAATCAGAGATTTGTGTGGACAACTCCCAGGGTTGGTGTGTTAGACGACCGCCGCCACCACCACTACACAGTAGATTAACTGTCGTGCAAAATTGATTAGTCTGAGGGCATTTTTTTGTGGTATCACTTTTTGATTTATTTCAGGGCTTGTGAAGGTAACACAATATACCGTTTGTTACATTTGAGATTTTTACTCACAGGAGTATCACATGTTATACGAATTCACTGAAGATGTACGAAATGTGTCGAACGATTGACGATAAGGGTGCATCGTTTAAACTCTACCCAATCAAGAGGTGATGCAGCATGCTACGGCCATACCTGATTTCTTAGGCAAGCTTTCCAACATTTGACCTCAGGATATTCCTATACTTGTTGATCTGACTCGCGTACAGCGGTGTGACTAAAGTGTGTGCTTCGAGGACGAAAGCCTATGGATCGTGGTTAAGAACAGGGGGTTTTGGCTAAAGCATGATGCGAAAAGGTGTAGTACACACTGATTTCTATTTGAAACACTGGGTTCCCTTTATCCATCGCACCAAGACCGAAAGAAGACAAGTGGCGAGATGTTAACATTTCGTTTAATCTTCTCAATCGCTGATGTAAACCAAACAAGCACATTAGAATTGTATATCTTAGTGAACGGATATGTAAAGTTAGACAAGGGATATTAGAATCAAAACATGGTAAACTCAACGGCAAGTGAACTGACTGGATCAACAACTTTTGGGCGCACAAAACAGGATTCGTTATTGATATCAAAACAGCCAAAACACGGTATTTTAAATAATGTTGTGATCCGCCCCACGTGTTAATCGTCGATCATGCAACCCGAAGGTTCGATTCCTAGCAGATGCACATACATTTGTTTCATTATACAATCATGTAGATAACCTGCTATTTGATCATAGAAACCGGCAACCCAAGCTCTGATACTTGGAGTGGCGAACCAAATAAGACTCCGCCAGTTTAGGCGTGGTATTGAACTGGAAAACAGTGGACCTGCTGTCCATCAAAGTTGGATGGTGGGATTCGAACCTTGAGGCTCAAACAACGCCAGTGACTGATTACCGCCCAGTATTTCGCATTAGTTTCGAGTCCTGACAATGACTAAACAGTCGCTCTTTGCCATCCATCACATACGATTTCACCAATCACATTTCACGCTTGTCTGAGTTCAGATCAAGCTTTAGAACAATGAAGGAGGTTTATGATTTACAAGTGGGTGGAATACTGCCAAGTTGCCTCACACCAAAGTTGGTGAATTTTCTCGTTTAACTTCAACACTGGTCTCGGGTTCGCCAATTGCATGGCGTTTTTCCTCATCTACAACAAATTCTTATCCGCTCCATTCGAGCAGGTATGACGTGGGACTGTTGTATTCAATAAGACTCGTAATATGCACGTAAGTAAATCCTTTTAATTAGCACAAAACAGTAGCTACGTAATTCATGTACAATGACAGAAGCGTGTCTTTAGCCGATACTGGCCGTACAAGTAATCAGCAGTCGGCCAATCAATACCAAGCATACATGTGGTGCAGTCTGATTGGCCACTGTAACAAGGTTGCATGTGAGGAACGTCCATGTATGTCTGTTAGTCTGTGTGTGTACCGAGTATTGATGTTGCGCGTTCAAGGGGAGTGATGTGTACAAGTGTTATCGAATAAATGCGTTAGACCGCACAACACCACCTTCTTCCTTTTATTAGCGTTTATAATAAGTAACGGTCAACTGGTTTGGGGTTCCGGCTAGAACGTCTGGGCTGCGTTCGATCTTACAGTAGGAGCTGTTGCTGTGTCATTTGATTGGCAAGTTTCCTTCTGACCACGTGATATCGGAATTTTGTAGAGTTGTCTTGCGTTAAACTTTTCATTCTTCCATTCTCAGGTAGGTACGTTCCCGGTCCCAAAGCTTTCACAAATTTGAGCGGAGGCGAAAACACAGGGAGCCCCTTTTGAGTAACGTGGTTTTTAGTCCGTACATGGCACCCAGCATTCATCGGTTTAGTTTCTCTTCTGTATGTATCCTGGTATGATTTTAAGTGTCTCTTGTAAATCGTGTCATGGGAGTTGAATGGAGGAAAGGCAGTCGCATTTTCTTCACTCGGTTGTACGCCTTCTTGAGACAAGCTGTAGCCGAGAAACTGCAACTTGGAGACACTAAACACACACGGTTGCATATTGATGCGCACATTCTTCTGACGACAATTGCGAGCAAAGTGACCGATCTTATGGCAGGTATTGCAGTCTGCTGATCGAGCTGGGTACAAGGGGTAATTGGCTTCGTGGACCGCACCTCCACATCTGTAACATGTGATGCCTTTCATTGTACTGTTCTTTAGTGGAGGAAATACTTTAGAGACCTCAACAAGTTCACTGTGTTGGGAAAACTCCTTTGTTTGTTTCGATATTTCGTCTTTAATGTACGCCAATTCGCAGGCCTTCTCCCATGTCAGTTTACTGGCGTTCTCTTTCAAGAATGATTCTCGAAGACGATCGTCTTCAAGCGATTGTTTAATCATTGTCAGGACTCGAAACTAATGCGAAATACTGGGCGGTAATCAGTCACTGGCGTTGTTTGAGCCTCAAGGTTCGAATCCCACCATCCAACTTTGATGGACAGCAGGTCCACTGTTTTCCAGTTCAATACCACGCCTAAACTGGCGGAGTCTTATTTGGTTCGCCACTCCAAGTATCAGAGCTTGGGTTGCCGGTTTCTATGATCAAATAGCAGGTTATCTACATGATTGTATAATGAAACAAATGTATGTGCATCTGCTAGGAATCGAACCTTCGGGTTGCATGATCGACGATTAACACGTGGGGCGGATCACAACATTATTTAAAATATCGTGTTTTGGCTGTCTCACCGGAGAAGAAAACCACGAAGATTCACGGATTATTGTTACTCTATTTACAAGAAACAAGAAGTGGAATGAAGCTACATTTGTGCATCTCGATCACGCTGTTGCTTTTCTTTCTGACGTGCCATATCTGCTCGCCAGTCTTTCATTTTCGACCAGCGTTGTTCTTTTCGTGTTCGGGGGGCCAACCACGCCTTCAGACTGATCTCCTCGTAATCGCGGAAGTAATTCAAACGTTCCTCCTCATCGATCAGTTGACGCAACGTTTGTCGCGCGTGACGCAGTATGTCCTGCTTGCGATTGGTCTCCTCGCGTTCAGACCAACGGGTTGCTCGCTCGTTTGCGAAACGCGTGTACAAATCGCGTACGAGCATCGTCTCATGCGCCACACAAGCCTCATTGGTCAGAATACCCTCACGGGCAAAACGATCACATTTGGTGAGAAAGTCTTCGGACAATGGTTTCGACAACTCAATCAGTTGCTAAAATCAAACAAAGCAACAAAAAAAGAGAAGGCTAATCACACTGCGTTAGTTATGCATTTCTTCATAGGCAAACAAATATAGAGTATCGTAGGTTTTCGGACAGTAGGTGAAGGAGATCATATTGGAAAATTAGCAACTGAACACTCAACAGATCGCGTTTTTATCCGGACTGAAATACACAAGCTACCGTCGGAAAGGTTTGGCATGATTACACTTCTCTCAGGATATCAGACGTGCGGAGATTACTTCGTTTGGTGGAAAAAAAGTGGGCTGCAAAAGCTAGGATAGGTAGGATTTGTCACAGAAAAAAACCTCCGACGATTTATATTACAAATGAGGAGAAAATATTTTAAAGAATTCAATGCACATGAAATCAGTAAATCGGCATTGTAGCCTGTGCTCTGTTCGGTATGCGTTTTGCACCTTCAAAGTGTAAAATGTTGCTCCAAAACTGGGTTGGTTCAGCTCCAAGCCTCACTCTAGCTGGGGCAGCAATAGAGCAAGTGGACAAGTTTGGGCCAGTATATCTCACCTGGTGAACGCTTCACGGGTGAATTGACAGCTAGCATACAGAAGGCTCGGTTAACATTTGCTACCTTGAGACATCTGTGGAGCCGCCACGACATCCGGCTGTCCGTGAAAGATCCAGGGTATGCTGCGATAGTTCGGCCAGTTCCGCTATACAGCGCAGAGACTTGGCCCTTGCGTGAGTAGGATAAAGATAGTCTGACGGCGTTTGAACACCGCTGTCTACATGGCATTGGCCAAAGTTAGTGAGGTGACCGGACGAGAAATGCTGAGGTTAGGTGCAGAATTTGAGGCAACCGCGAACGTTCACTGGAACAAGTAGTCGAACTCCACAGACTATGGTGGTTGGGGCATATGCTGCGTATGTCACCAAATAGGTTGAATTCGCGAGCGATGCTCGCCGAGGCAGGTAGTGAATGAAAAAGAGCCAAGGGTGGTCAAATTAAGATCTGGCATGAGGGTATGTAAACCCTAATCAGGAAATTCGGTCACCTAGGTAGCCTTCTGCTCCCGGGATAGGGATCTAGAGATCAATGTAACCGATGGTTCGAGAAACTGGGTGCTACGGCTGATTGTCCCAAACAGGGGCGCTTGTGCATCGTCTCAGTTTCTTCGCAACCTTAGTCCGCTGAAATTCGTCATTTTCTCTTCGAGTCTAGTTTAGCTTTCCTGTCTTTTTCCTATTGTTCATCCGAATGAACAGCCAAAAGACAACAACCAAACCCGGCGCATGAAAGAGTATGGTACTGGTTGTACAAACTGAAACTAGGCACTAGAATCCATCAGTTTAGAATGAAAGATGAGGTGAGAACGAAGGTTTAATAATTGTTCATTTAGGCAGCACTAAAAAGAAATTCCCCAGGAATGGAAACAAAAATGATCGCGGAGAAAACAAGCCGTGTTTGGAAGAGAAAGTACAACAACGCTCGGTTACACGATTTATGCATACCAAAGCAGATTTCGTTGCATCTCCAATGGGATAATACAGTTTATACCAGATGACGAACTCGTCGTGTAAATCAGGGTTCGATCCCCAGTTGGATCGATGGATTCGCGCACTGCTGATGAGACCCAACCAGGTCGAAACAGTCCAATGCTTTCCAGCTCATGCCTCATGTACACGAGGAATTCACCATCTAATCAAATCAAATCCTCCATTTCTCTCATGTAACGGTTTATATTGTTTGACAGTACATCAGTTACACAAGAATACGACAGAGTCGAAGGACCACACATTCTTCACCCCTGCCAAGGTCTAGTGATAGTGTGACTGACAGTTCTTTTATATATATACACACACACACAGACCAGATTTCCATTTTCTAATTGAAACGGACTCCGCAAACCTAAGCAGTCGGAGGTTGAAGTTAGCATAAGTGATCTTAAAGCGGCTTGTTGGATTCAGACAATGATTCGTAATTAGCAGATATCGAGCGATAGATAACGCAGGTTGTTTATGTGCTCAGTGTTCCTGATTAAGGGAGGTGGTTGGTAATAGTGTATGTTGTTTGAGTGTGTTAGTGGTGGATGATGCGTGTGTGGGATGATGGGTCTTTGATGTTTAATCGTATAACTCGGTCAATCGGCGTCCAACCTAGGATGGTATGTCCCTAGATCCGTGTGTGGAACTGCCTATCTGTTCTGCCAGTGTCAGATGCTTCGTATTCACATTCATACGGGTAAATTACATGTGCTTTGGTAGACAATGGCAGGGGTTGCTTTGTGGGTGGAGTGGGTACGCGTGTGATTGTGGACAGGACGATTGGCATGGCCGTATTATAAATAGGTTTTACCTCATTTTTCAATCTGTTTTGGAAAATCAGGCTGATACCGTTGCCTGCGAAGGAAAAACAAATGTAGATCTTCTTCTTAGGGACGGCCTTTATTATTGGCTTTCACTCCAGTGTCTGCCTGAACTATCACAACTTTGGTAGTTGTAGGTGTAATCATTCGGCCCTGTTCTATTCATGTGTAGCTGATGTACTGTCTAATGAATTAAACTGTTGTTTTCCACCGTATTATACCATTTGAGATGCAGCGAAATCTCCTTTCGCCTGCATAAATCGTGCAACCTAGCCTTGTTATGCTATCTCTCGGGATATAAATGTATCTGTTCGTGTTTTACCGAAACCCGCAAACAGAGAAGGTTTGTGCATTCTACATTCTAAACAACTGGCAGCGGAAAATCCTGACTAGTTTTATTAGGTCGCAACTTATGTTCATGCAATTCACAGCAGCGACTGCTCATCTTTGAGATAACATTACGTGTTGAGAAGTCTCCCGTCGTGCGGTGGTCTCCAGAACCACACTAATTCATCAGACCATTTCACAGAAGTCGGTGAACGAGAAACCTCTTTTTATTGAAGAACCATGTCACAATTTTTTTTTCAAATGATGGATAAAGTGTGCACCTTCCTCGAGAATTTAAAAGTTGAATTATGTTGTATTCACAAAGCAGTGGTCAGGGAATTGGACTCACTGAACAAGTAGCACACTGTCTCCGGCCGCTTCTGATACGGGAGCACAAATCAGAGACAGTTTCAGTTTCTACAACCATTAACCATACACTTTCGTGATCTTTTGGCCGCCCATTTGGATAAGAGAGCGGAGTGAAGATTGGAATGATGAGAACAGATTTAACGGGATGATAGAGGAGAATTCATATAGACTGAGGTTGCAAGAATAATGAGTAGATGGATGAGCGCCACTGTTTGCGACACCTAGCCATATCGCTCAGTGTCTCTAACAATCGGTGACCATGATCTCGGGGTTCCCAGTCGGGGAGCCCAACAGGACCTATGTGACCCAGTTTCCTGGTCAGGGTTTTCATACCCTCATGCCAGGTCATCATTTGACCGCCCTTGATCTTTTTCCAACCGCTACCTGCCTCGGAAAACATCGCTCGCCGTGGCAACCTGTCTGGTGACATGCGTAACACATGTCCCAACCAGCGTCATCTGTGGAGGTCGACTGCTTGATCCAATGGACGACTGCGATTACATAAAGTTCTGCACCTAACCTCAGCATTGCCCGTCCGGTTAGCCCACCAGACTCGTTCAATGCGAGGTTGATAGGGGAGTTCGAACATCGACAATCTATTTTTATCCTGTTCTCGTAATGGCCAAGTCCGCACCGTAGACAACAGTACTGGACGAACTCGACGATACGGACTAAAATCACAGCGAGGAATTGCGAAATACAAATTCACCAATTCCATACTGCCCGGAAGTGAAAAGCAAATGGGCAGGCTTACCTGTATCTGTGCCACAGCCGAGGCCACATCGGATTTTCTCGGTTGAACAGGTCGACCTCGTTCAATGGTCTCCGTGTCTTCACGCGTCAGAGCGGATTCAGTGATATGCAGCAGTGTTTCTAGCTGTAATTCAAAAGTTTATACAAATTATAAATTTGATTTGCGAGTGTAACAACCATCACACACACATCTATGTGATTGGATCATCAGTCAAAGACTAGCCTGACTCGCGGTCGGATTTTATTATTACACCACTCACGTGTTTCTGTCTGTTCATCCTACATACAGCGCGATCGATTCATCGTTTCACATCATCCTATCCCTCTCTCATCCGTGACCTCAAACAAATGACTTCCCTCGCTAGCGATCTGATTGGACAATTTGCCCAACCTTGACATGAAACTTTCTGATCACTGATTCGCAATGTTTGTGATACTCTCGTTGTTATCTGATATCCAACCGTGCGATGATAATACCGCTCCTGCCGAGCAACAATAAACAAAACACGATCACGTTTTTATTATTAGACTACTCATAAGTAGCATAATTCAAATAGACAAATATAGGTAGTACATCAACACAACTGGAATTAGGAATAGTCGAGCAAGTGAACTGACGGAGATAGGTTTTATCTTGAGCAATATCAACGAAGCCTATAGGATATAGGCTACTAGTAACAGCGTAATTCGACGACCAAGGTTGGTGATCGATATCCAACCATCATTATTACCTATCTCTCTATGCGGTTCATAAGTCAGGATAGAAGTTACCGCTTACAACAACCCGAACAGTATACCTCTGAGACTATGAGATTCACCCACTTTACTATTTCTCCTTCTGCTTTATAAATGTGTACAATACCCAAATCCTATTTTTCGTCACTTTGAAAGTAAATTTGAACTCAAGATGGAAATGTATCTATCGGGAGAAGTCAGCTTATGAAAACTTCCACCGAAGGATAGCATTTCACCAGTATTTGATTATGCTTGTGCATATAGGCGGAATGAAGGTTACACTGGAGAGTCAAAATATTTGTTAATTTTTAGCTACAAATAAGGTTCAATTATGCTCAACAACAAAAACAAACAGCAGCAGCAGGTTAGACGGCTACGTATGCGCATCTCGCCATTAACAGTGAAATTCATCTAATCACAAAATCGATTGGGTCAATATGAGTCATCACTTACCACGTTTGTACTCAGCTGTTTTTTCTCCAATTGTTCGGCAGAAGAGATCTGTGATAGCTCTGCTTTCAACGCGTCCATTTGTTCGGTCAGTGACAAACCAAACAGAAGCAAACCAGTCGTGAGGTGTGAACGCATCGCTTCGAGTGTCTGGTGTTGTATACCGGGTGTCCCGGTCAACGAATTGGGGCGATTCGTGATCACGTCTCGAATTTGCAGCCATAAAACACCCAGTTTCAACCGCACACGTTCGATATCGAAAAAATTATCGTAGTGTGGATTACGCACATACGGCACGAAGACGTACTCAACCTGCGTTGGATAAAGTTCAGCACATTGAACGCATGCAATTCGTCACCAAGAGATAGTACATACACAGTAAATTATAATATATTTTGTAGGGTTGGTGGTGGCGCAGTGGTCTAGTTACTGTCACCGCCGTGCTTTTGGACCCTACGGTCTTAGCCCCGCCACCACCACGTAACTACGGTGGTAGGCAGCTTTGCTGTCGTCCGGTTCAGTACCAAGCCTAACTTATCGGGGCCCTGCGTAGTTCGCCACTCCAAGTCCTGGAGCTTAGGTTGCCAGTTTCCATCAGTGCATAACAGGTCCTCTTACCTATGGGGTTTACACCTTCTGCTGTTCATCAAACTAAAAAATTAAATCTAACCCAGGTATGAAAGCCAAAATTACGTTTCTAACAAAAAAAAAATCGAATGAGAGACGATACAACGAACGAACGAACGGGGGGGGGGGGGGAGGAGGGTAGTACAAGCATGCGAGCAGCTATTAATATCATACATGCGAGGTATTTGCCCTTACTTCCTCCGAATCGTCATTTTCCACAGTCAGAGTCTGCTCCTGAGGCAGATCACGAACGAATTTAACACCGGCTAGGAGTGTGAATGCCAGTGGTAACGGGCTCACTACTTTCTCATAAAAGTAGTTTTGCAAACAGAGCTCCCACATAACGTCAATCACTGAGCTCCAGTCTTCCGATTTCACAAGATGGTTTGCGAACATGTTGGCTGCAACTGGATCGAGGAAGACACCGGTACTGGCCTGGAATTCATCGGGATATTATTATTGAATGAGTTTGAAATTGGTTTACCCTCCGTTTAGCTAGGGATAGTAAGTTGTCATATTTCTGAAAATCCAAATAGGCTCGAACTATTGCATGTGCGCTAGAATCTACCACTTCGATGGCTGATTGAGTGTGCGTATACCTAGAGGGAGAAGGGGTGCCGGTGGATGAGATAAGAGCAATAAGAAGAGAGACTTACTTTTCAATGATATTCTCTATAAAATCGGTTGACACGACATCTAGTTCATGCAGCTTGTTTACAAACTGCGTAAGAGAAAGAGAGAGGTACAGGAGATGAGAACACGAGGGGACTTACTATGTCGTAGTCCAACGGAGAAACGACCCGATTTGAGTTTATAGCTTGCAGAATAACAACTCCCAAGTCTCCTGATGAAAGGAGAAAATTGTGAGAGCAAGTAAGGAATCGGTTTGCTCATAATTTGATTGTTCTTACAAAAATGAACAGATGAGCACAAGAAAAAGCAAAGGTTTGAGTGAATGACCGGAAGATTGAGTTCAGTATATATATTTCACAATAAGCAGTATATATATATATATATGCGCATGAGCTCAAATGAGAGCGAAACTAGTGCCTCCCGAGTGCGTAAGTGAGGACTGTGTGCGAAAATTAAGCCTGGAGGCTGACAGTTCAACACCGGTATCACCTAGTTCACAGCTGTGAGTCAAATATGAGTCTATGGATTGTTTATAAAACCGACACTCGTTTATCATCAACAAACGGTTAAGGATGCGTTCACTCACGAGCAGTAGTGTTCTTGAACGACGCATGGGAAAGTCGAGATTGCCATAATTCATCACAATAATACGATTGTGGCAGAAAACAACGGGACGGGAGACGAAGCACTGGAAAGCAATAAGTGGAGCAAATAAATGGATGGATTCCTTACCCTTTATCATGAAAGCTGAACATCTGGAAACTGAAGACCTTATCAGCATTTTATGTGTGCGGTGTTCGTCAAAAGTGCTATAGCTGTAAAAAAAGGAAGAACGTAAGGGAGCTGGAAATCAAAAAGCATTAATTTAAACGCTATAAATATCTGATAAATCAGCAGTTCTAACGTGTGCACAAAGCTGATAACGAGTTGGCTAATGCGGAAATAACCCAACGAACAAAAACTCTCCACGACTGGGAAACCGACCCGAGAGCGTCCTGCTCTACAGCTGTGGCCTCCGAGTTATGAAAATAATCCGTAGTTGGTGTAAAGTTGAATTAGACAATCTCCGCTGTCCGTCCGAATGGCTGGAACTAAAGTCGGGGTATCCAGGTGCCTTTATGACTATTACAGAGATCCCACTTGAGCAGTAAAATCACTCCTGATTACTGTGATGTCTGTTGAGTGAACGAACATTTTGGAGCAGTTGAAGGAATTCAGCATGGAAACCATCCTCCATTTCAGGTGCATAGACGAATAGGTAATGGTGTTTCTTTTTATTGATATTGATCCTCGCTAGACCATCGAGACAGCTACTGACTGAAACCCAATCAGGGAGTGAGCGATCAGCCTTGCCACTTGGTGCAACAACAAGGGTAACAGATATAAAATTGTCTGACACAGGAGTGAAGCGTGAGATTTGGCTTGAAGAACGCAGTGACTATTCGTAACAATTGTAATTTGTTACGTCTAACTAAGAGTGCGGCTCCAAGTAGGTGTAAGCGGGGTAATTAAGGAATTCGATGACGCAGAGTTATCATCAGACACGCTATGTTGAGCAATGGGAAGAAGATTAGACTGTTCAATTGACCCTACCAATTCCTGCTTCAAATGGGCAACTACTGCCATTGTCTCTAAACTTCTTGCTGGCGTCATACTCGGTCGATTGTCCGCTGCACGTGAATGGTGCAAGCGTAAGAACCAGGCTGGTTTCTGGACCCGGCCGAGGTTGTATCGACCATATTTTCACCCTTCGATTTTCAACCAAACGACAAATAGTTTGATCTAGAATATAAGAACGACAGTGTACTGCTAAGTCACAATCCGAGTAATCTATTCTATTTTATACTACCACTGGTTGTTTTCTGCGCTACTGATCTTGCTGAACGCATCGTTCTTATTTTTTCAGGTTCAATCCATGGGTGTAGACGTAAATTCCTTTAAAGTGAAAAATCATACGAATTACCTGGCGCGATGAAAGGTATGATTAAATTTAATTATGGTAACAATAGTTATTCGATTTGCGCCCAGGTAATCAACAGTCTAATCTGAAGTATAGTTTCAGTTTTTACAACCATGCACTCTCGTATGACGATCTTAGTTGCTGTCTTTCAGCTGCCCATTTGGATGAACAGTAAGAGCAAGACAGGAAAGTTGAAGGCAGGATCGGAGAAAAAATGGAGAACTTCAGAAGAATAAAGTTGCAAAAAAAGTGAGGAGATGCGCGAAC